CTTAGAAAGGTTATGTAAGTCTTTTACTTAAGAGACTTCCTAAAACTTGCAGCTAAATTGTTTGCCTCACCCTGTAAGGCTCCTAATACTTTTTCAGACCCAGCCAGCACAGAATGCATTAAGATCATTCTATGCTGAATGCTTGCCAAAAACCCTCACCAAATTCTGTGCTTCTTCCGTGGGACAAGAATACTGCAACGTGCATAAATAGCTTAGGAGCCCTTTGGTGTTCATAAGAGCCTTTCAGAACCCTTTCCATGCCTCATTGATATCTGAGTCTGAATGCCCAGCAGACTCCCCTGAGAGAGATGGGAGGTTTCATGCAGGGCCACATGCTCCAAAGCTGCTGCTATGCCACGAGGGGCATCAATAAATGACCCTCTTTCCAACAGGGACTGTATGAAGTTTGCAAGCTCCCTGAGTGCCTCTCCCCTCGTGAAAGCTGCTCTGCCTGGGCTTAGCTCCATCTTATGCAGAGAACAGCTGAGGGCTGCCCACCTTTCCTCTAAGAACTTTGGAGAGACAGATCACTGCAAATCAGCTCTGCTGTGACGCCTCAGCTAGGGCTTACCAACCCTTTTCAAGGAAGCAGCTTGAAGCTGCAGCTCTAGTGTTTAGCCCCAGCTGAGGTGCCACTCCAGCCACTTCACAGCCATGCCCTTTGGATAGGCATGGAGACTGCTAATCTTAAGTCAGATGATGACATGTGGATGACTTTCCGCCTTGGACTGCCTCATCACTGTGGACTTGCATGACAATCACTGGCATGTGCCGTAGTGTGATTATTGTCAGCAACGATCAACCTGGCCTTGTCTTTCCCAGCTTGACATGTCTTAGATAAGAGTTTGAGCCACTGAGAGCAAGGACAGATGGAGATGGTTCAGCTGGAGAGATGGTTCTCCTCAGTACCTTCAGGAAGGGGGAAAGGCTTGGGTAGAAGGAGAGTCCTTTTGCAGATTAACACCAGGCTGCATGGCTGGTGCTGGGGGCAGGGCTTTGGCTTCTCTCACCCCTGTTTAGATGGGGCTATACTTGACATGACCAAGTGGGGAACAACTGCCTCTGTCAACCAGCTTGCTATGCTAAGTCAGGGATCTTTAAAGCTGGTAAGGAGAGAGGGGCGTTCTCCTTAACCTGAATAGACTTAAGGGCACAAGGGGCATAACGGATTTGTGTGGCAGGCAGCATGAGAGGAGAGGCTGTGCTGCTTCTCCTGTGAAAGCAGCACCAACTGGGTCCATCTAAAAGACTCGTACAGAAGGAACAGAGAATGGGAGTAAAAGTGGGAGACCTCAGAAGTCCGCACACAGGTGCAGACCTGTGACCTCTCTGGGCTTTGGAAGATGACTTGGGTTAGCTCTTGTGGTTGCAATGCTTCAGTGGAGGGACCACAACTTGCCTACACCTGGATGCCTGAGTCAGACTGGAGTTTCACTGTCATTCACTGTTTGCCCCTTCAGCTCATTAACAGAGCTGCACACACATATACACAAACATGCATATGCAGGGAAAAGTTGTTCTAGCTGTGGGCGGGGTAATGCAGCCAGCAACAGCAGGGATGCAAATGCCCTGGCAGGGAGAGCTCTGAGCCCAGAAAGAGATATTGGCCAGGACTCATCCTTACTGGAGTGGGGAGTTAATGCCCGGCCTATGCTGGGCACACGCCACTTTCCCACGGCCCATGGGGCAAAGATGCACCCCATGGTGTGCCGTAAGGTAAAAGAAAGGTCCCTCTGGGAAACACAGACTTCCTTGGTTTGCTTTGGGGGCCTTTCTCTTGAAACTGACCTGCTGCTTCTATAGTGGTTGTTTCACAAGCTGCTGGAGCATATCTGCCATTCCTGCACTTTTTACAAAATTGCAAAAATTAGACTGCTATTATTTCCTATAATTTACAGCCTTTTATTGCCTTGAGGGCTATGCTGCTTTTCTTGCAATGTTGCAACGTGTCCTGCAGAGGACAGCAGGCACCAGAGATCCGTGCTTTACTTCTGCCTCCTTGTTTCTTTTGCACGAAACGCCCCTTCTTCTGGCACCTGCTCTTCAGCATTCGCTCCTTCTTGCATTTATCCAGGACAGCCGCAGTTTGCTTTGCATCGGCTGCATCCTTCCTCCAAGAACTCAGGCTCTGCATTATACTGAAATGTAAACAAGAAGGAGAACCTAGAGTCTTACATTCCCAGGAATAAATCATGTTATTGCTACACACTGGTTCACTCTGCATGTCGTCTAGGAAGTGCCTGAAGTGTCAAGGGGCTGTGTGTGCCCTTCTGCTGACCAGAGCTCTCCAGTCAGGAGGATGAAACACTGGAGCCACAGTCACGGTCCCCAGAGTGGGGGCCAGCATATGGCCATGCTCTGCTTAATCCAGGGGAACAGAGTGATCTGTCGCCATGCACTGTTCCTCCTGGTATAAGCCATGTCCAGCCCCCATCCCTGGAGATCCCCCTAAAACGCAGTGAGTTCCCTGAAAGCAGCACAAGAGTGCAACAGAGAGCAGGCATGAGGTGCTGCACGTGTTGTGGAGGCAACAGAGGGGACCTGCACTTGGGAGTAGAGCATCTTCCCTCGTTCTGGTGATGGATGGGAGAGTGAGGGGAAGAGGTCCTGGGCTGTCAAAAAGGCCCAGCACAATCCAGAGGAAGAGGAAGTTGCTTCCCCAAGAGCTTGTGGGGTCACTCACTTCCCAAGGCTTCCTGCCGTCCTGGGCTGTTCCCTCAAGGACAGGACCCTCTTCTGCACGACAGGCTCCACAGACACAGGTGGGTTCCTGGGCAGAGACTGTGCACAGGCAGCACTGAGGGCCACTGGCTCTGCAGTAGCCACAGAGGGTTGTGTCAGCTCCCAGGGTCAGTGCCTGAAAGGGGGCAATGAAATGTGTCTG